CAAAAAAATAAACAATATTGCAGCAAAATCTTCTTGAGCTGGAGGTCATCCACATTTTGGCTGCACCAAGAAATTCTGCTCATAAAAGTTATGAAGTAAATCGGTGACAAACGGAAACCTTGGTGCAGTCTAACACTTATTACACGCAGCACAAATCAAACTTTCACTCTAGAGGCAGTGTTCCTGACCTGTATGTTATGTTGCACTTCTTGTTTGCACTTCTCTGCTTGCTCTTGATGAGGACGGACACATTTACTTCCTGCTCCTGCCCTCCCTCCTGCTTTGCTCTTTGTCCTGTGAACCCTATCGGAGCCTCTTGCTACATTTCCTCCGAACTGTAAATTTAGGATCTGGTCAGCTGGTCTCTCTACGCAATTGATAAAATTTTCTCAACAAGAAGACAGGGCAAAGGAGAGCCCTCATGCCCTGAAGGGACACTTACAGCTGAATATACTATGGATTCCTGGGGACAGTGGAAGATGGTGTCTGTCTGTATTGTCTGTTGAGGACGTTGAAGATGCATACATAATTGGATTCATGATGCCAAGATTTCTGCTTTTTGGAATCGGCGGTTACCCAGTTTGTCGACAAATGCAGAAAATGTCAGCAGCCATTCCAGCCTTGGTAAAGCTGAAGGAATCTATCGAGCAATAAGCTCCCAGACTCAGATGCTGCATGAGCTGAACTGTAAACTTGACGCGAGTTCTGAGAATCACAGACCGCTTGTGGCTCCTGGGACTCACTGGGGGGATGGAATCGACCTTGGAGAAGGCTACAAGCTCGGCCCGGCAGTGTGACCACAACATTTGACTGTTTGGAATCGCCACTGACATACCAGCAGAACTTCGAAGGCTGACGTGGAAATCCAGCAGAATCTGCCTGACCCAAAATATTTGTGTAATCTGAATTTGCCTTCCCACTCGGCCTTGATCTGGTCAGCTAGCTCAAACTCTCCTGGTTGTTTATGTGAATGAGGACCCCCCCCCCCCCCCGCTCCCCTCTCCAGTACACCTATGGATCTGTGTCAGAGTTGAACCAGCTGATAGACACTGTGCCATCTCTTATCAGGACTATGGAACTTTCTGGCAGGTCATGGACAACTCATTGCCCTTGTCGGCCTTTTCATGCATAAATATATTATGATGTCATTATGTCTCCAGTTAAAGTGCAATGTTTTTTTTTCTTCCAACACTCACGCTGTACCCTGGCCAGGACATACGTAGTGCGAGATGCTTTTTTTTTTTTTTTACCTCCGCCTCCCCTCGTGTTTTCACTTTTCCATACGTTTGTCTGTTTGTCTGAAACAGGTCTCTCTTGTAAATGAGTGTCCGAGGCTCAATGCAATTAATCTGTATAAATAAAGGTTGGATGAAAAATAAACAGGTTTGTCTACCAAGACATCCAAAGAACATCCAGGCCTTAAAGAACTTGGGGACAATTCCATCACTCTCCGGAGTCTTCTTGCCGTTAGTTGTTTAAATAAATCTACTGCAACTCCAGTGATGCAGGCTCCCCAGTTTCTGCTTCCAATACTCAGTAAATTAGATAAATTGATGTGCTTTTTCAAAATGGCTTGATACTCAGCTAGGTGCACAAGTGCAGACAACAGTCAGAACATGTCAGAACACAAAGGGCTATTGGTTCCAGAGCCCATGTTTTGTGTGAAGGAAAGCTGAACTTTATCTATTTGCTATCTTTCAACCTCCTGACAAGCTCTAGCTCTTTTTCCACCAGCGAAGAGATGTTCTATGTCTTTAAAGACAGTTGCAGCTGTCAAGCATCAAATTGTCCTGGCATCTGCCTCTGACTGCAGCTCAGCTTAAAATGTACTGGTCCACTGACAACTCCTGCAGGTGATGGGTCCACAAAGAGGTTGTCCCATGTAGCTTGTCCAGGCTGTAAAAAGCTGGAAAGGCCATGTCACCACCTTTTATAAAGTTCACTGAGCTAAAAAGAGGCATTTTGATGTTCCTGGAATGGTGGCTCAGTTGGTAGAGCTGCCGCCTTTCAGCGAGAAGGTCGTCAGATCAAATCCCACTCAGGGACCTTTCTGTCCTCCAGTGTGAGAGTTGGGAGTTCAATTTCACCAGCAGTTACATGCTGAAGTGTCCCTGGGCAAGACACCCTCATTGCCTCTGATGTGTGTCCCATCGGTGTATGAATGTGATTGGTCTAACTGATTAGTCTTTGTATAAATCTAGTAGGGTGCTGTATGAATGGGTAAATGAAGGCACAGATTGTAGAGTAAAGAGCTTTGAGTATCTTGATAAGATATAAATTTTATTATTTATTATTTATTATGTAAGTACAGTCCATTTACCATTTCAATTCACCTGCGCTGATAACAACAAAGTGGTTTCCTGTCGCTGTAGTTCCAGCACCATGGACAGAGTTTTGGCTGTTTAGGCAGTCAGTGGTTAACTTCCGTCACATTGGTTAATCATTAGGTTTTATTGAGTGATATGGATAAAGGTTTTATCTTTTACAACACAGAACTTTAGAAATGATAGTGATATGTGTGCCTCTTATCAACTGGGATGAAGAATTGCCCCAATTCAAAATAATAATAAAAACAAAATCTCAAAAAATGGTGTCAACCATCCTTTGACCATATATAGACTTCCCGTAACTCATGAAAAAGTGTGTAGAGGCAAAGACAAAACATTAAAAGGAGAAGTGATGCAGCAGTTTGTCACAGCTGACAGAAATGGTGGTTGAACAGTGTCTGCGTGTGAACGCTGTAATTATAGAATCTGTTCACATCACAGTCTGAAGCAGGCCTGTTTAGAAATTTATATATTTAAAAAAAAGCCTGATAAAAATTAAATGATATGTGGTCAATTAGGAAACTGCTTCTTAAATGAACTCACATTAACTCCTGATTGTTGCAGCTCCTCAGTGCTGCCTGATCTGACAGCAGACGCAGCTTAAAGACTATTGGACTACAAATGGCTCGTCTCTTGCAACAGTTTTCTTTGGCTCCTACCCCGCATGGCCTCCCTGGATACTCAGGTGTTCAGTGCAAGCGAGCAGAGATGAATGCAGGGTGACAGTGGATTTTGTGGTTGTCTCACACCTGCAGATTTACAAACTGCTGCATTCTTTCCACAGATCCTTGAGATAACACGGCCGGAGCTGCCTTCTGAAAAGCAGGTGAACTCATTATCGATGTGAAGCGGTGAATTCCAGAGCCATTCGTCCATGCCAGGCCTCCTTTTCTTCTCTAAAACTGTGTTTTCTTGTCACACAATTGAATCACACATGTTGCTTAATGCGACTTATGCTCCTTTGAATTACTCCGCTCATGAAGCTCATTGAGTGCAGGCTTTGCTAAGGCAAACAGAGAAAGTTAGAAATCAGAGGAGTTTTTTAAACCTCAAGCAAAAAAAAAAAAAAAAAAGCATCAAGCTTAATAATGTGAATGCTGATTCAGTATTCACACTATTGTTAACCTGCTTTTTATTTTGTTTTTTGAAGTCTAACTACTTCTGAATACTTTGTCCTAATTTAGCTGTTCATATATAAAAACATACAGGGGAGTGATGGGGCAGAGGCTAGAGAAGGTGGGCCTGTGATCGGAAGGTCACCTGTTCAACTCCCGAGACTGACAACATCAAAATGTGGGTGGGAAAGGTGAAACACCCACACCTGTCTCCACCCCCATTTACCCCACTCTGGGCCCTTGAGCAAGGCCCTTAACCTCCACCATCTGCTCCCACGGGCAACTTAGATGGCAGCTTTCTGCTCCACACAGAGGGCTGTGGTAGCTCGGTGGTCTATGGTTGCATCAGGAAGGACATCCGGTGCAAAAATAATCACCAAGTCTTCGTGCAAGTTATTTTGCTGTGGCGACTCCTGAAGAAGGGAGCAGCCGAAAGAAAAACACACACACACACATATATATATATATATATATATATATATATATGTGTTAAATATAAATATATATATATATATATATATATATATATACACATATATATATAAATTTCTTCCCCTTTGTTTTTATTTATAACTGCTTTAGCAGTAATTACTCTTTTTGTCCGCATAATTTAGTTTAACTTTTTTAATCTTGTTCTGCTACTTTTAATTACTGTTTTGCAACATTTAGCTGAGGCTTTGGTCATTTAAAATTTTAGCTGCCATTTATATTTTTTAGTTTCTTAGGTAGCCCTTTGCTACTTTTGGATTTAGCTACTTGTGTTAAATTTGTCCTATTACATTTTAAGTTAACCTTTTGCTTGAGCATTTTACTATAATTCTGACAATTTTACTTATCATTTTCCAGTTTTTAGTTTTTAGCTGGCATATTGCTTCTTTTTGTTGTTTGCCTTTTTGCTATTTTACTATAGTTAGCTTTAAGCTAGAGTTTTTTTTAATTTTTTTTTTTACATTTTGATTTTAACTAGTTTTCTGCTTTTTTAGCTTTAGCTGAAACAGTCTCAGTTTCTTCGTAGAATTCCAGCAGTCATTTAGCACTCAGCATTCACACTGCATTTTTGCAGAAAACGCAAATTCTCTAGTTAAATCACACATTTTATTTATTTCTGAACGATGCCTTATACAGAAACAAAACAAAGTCAAGCCATTTGAACTACTAAGTGATGAAAGCTAATATTTTATCTATGAAATAGATGAAATAAATCGATAAAACAATGGACGCATGTCAGAAAATGTAATTCATGTTGCATTGGGCTTCTCTCTCTTCTCGAGCTGTCCAGGTTGTCGTTTCCCGTCCTGAACTGAACACATCCAGATATAAATATAACCTGGTGGTATTTCCTGTTGCCTGTGATCCAGCACTCCTGTTTCCATCATGTGCCTGCACACCTTCATCACAGTCTTCACCTTTCTATTTGCAGGTAAAAACCGGAGCTATTTGCGGCACCGTGGCCTTCCTGGATTGGACGCATCTCTCAGCAACTCTTTTGTTTTCTCTCCTCTCTATGAAAGGAGAGTCATTTGTTCAGGTGCTCGCGTGCTGCTCTCCTTCTCTTTCACTCTCACTGCTTCAGCAGCTCTGTTGATTATCAGGCGATTTTCCTCTGAGCCGGAGGAAAATGGTCCCAGTCTGGTCTCTGAGCTTCAAGGTCTTTCTGTGATTTCTTGGCTGCAGCTCTGTGGGACAAAAAAATTAAAAAAAAATCAGCACAATAAAGTGTGAGAAAGTGAAATTAGATGTGAGTTAATTTTGTGCATGCGGTTCCAAACTTACCTTAGGATGCCGAGAACATCAACGTGGGAAGGCTTCACAGATGTGAGTTCAGGGCTGCACAGAAAATACAATGCAAATAAATAACCAAGATATTTAGATGCACACAGAAATATCTGCTTTCTCACACACAAACGAAACAGGCGGCCACACAACAAGATTTTTTCCAGTCATCAGAGCTCCTACATGTTTCACCTCTGCCTCATATGTCTGTGGTTTACTCTCCTTGTTTTCAAGGTGATTTCAGGACAGTCATTTCAGGGGAATGTGCCTGAAAGAGTCACCTCCTCCACCAACCTCACACGCATGCACACACACAGGTTTGTCTTACTATCGTTATGAGGACTTTGCATTGACTTCCATTCATTTTTCATTCATTTCTATAGCCTAATCCTGACCCTTACCCTAAACCTAACCATTATCAGTATATACCTAACCCTAAGCCTAACACATCCTCAATTCACACCTTAGTCCTAAACCTAACCCCTAACCCCCCAACGGCACTTGAACCTTATGCAGACCAGCTTTGGTCCCCACAAAGAGCCTTTGGGCTTCACAATGTAGTATGTGTTGAAAAATGGTCCTCACAAAGTAACATAAACAAGCACACACACACTCATGTCCTCAAAGCAAATCAAATCTAACTTCTGTGGACTTTGTGCACTCAAATTACCTAACGATTTTCTTCAAGTTTCAGCAGAATTGTTTTGATGATCTCTTTCACACACCCCATACACACACACACACCCTTGAAGGAGTTGTGGGACACATTTACTGGTAGTTTGATAATAGCACACGTTATTAATTTCCAACACCGCACCACTCCCCATCCTCCTCAGTCATTCCTCCCTTTGTTTTTTTTAATGACGTTTTGTGGCTTTTTAAAGATGCTCCAACTCACCGGAAGCTGCAGAAACGTCTGCAGCTCTGATCATTGAGTTTGGCGCAGGTGCAGCGTCCAGTGGACCGCTTGCGTCGCAGCAAAGAGCCACCCAGACCATAAAGTGTTGTTTTACTGCGGAAAGAAAGGCAGAGTCAGTGCCATGCTCTGAGCGAAAACACTATGCAGACTTTGCTCTTTGTTACTTAACAGAAACCTGTTTAACAATACAGCAATAATGATAGGAGAGCTATTCAACCGTCATCAAACTTTGTGTGAAATTAGTTCTTTATTTATTTATTTTTGGAGGGGGTTGAAGTCTCTGCAGAAAAAGAGAGCTTCACTTTGTCGATCCTCTCCTGCTAACCTGGGGGTGTTGATCCAGATGATGTCCAGATGACAGAAGTAGTGGCATTCAGAGTCCAACTGGTTGCTGCAAGCACAGCGCCGGGTCCTCACCGGGTGAGCTGGGACTTCTAACTCCAGCTGTTTCACAACTGGAAGACACCATCCTACAGAGTTCAGAGTAAAGAGGTACTCTGTTAGAGAACAAACACAGCTTGGTTTATGAAATAATTTCTAGTCTATGATGAGGAGAAATGTATTTTTTTTTTAAAGATTTTTTAAACTTCTCTTTTCAACCAATCATATTCTAAACTTTTACTGTTTGAATGAATCTGAGCTCTTTCTCTGTGAAATGATAAGGGAAAATCTAAAATCGTAACAAAGTTTTCTGTTTTTAAATTTGAAGTCTTTAAATGTGTGAAAACTGCTGCCACACTTCAGTTTCAAAATAAATGTCAGCATTTAGAAAAGTTTAAGTTAAATGTGTCCTTTTAATTCACAAGCTACCAATTAAAAAGAAAACAACAAAAACTCATGTTAAGGATTAAACTTTCTTGGTGCACAGTTAAACAGAGACAAATGTAGCTGCCTCAGATATAATCCAGCCTACACCCCTGATGTAAAAGTAACCGTTTTCTTAGCTATTATAATAAAACATTTTTAACAAACAACTACCGTAGTGTATATAAAAGATAAAATAAAGGTATTAAAGAGAAATGAAAAAGTATAGACTCACCATCCTGAATTGAAACCCAAACAGAGACAAAAAGAAGAAGGCTGCTGCGAGAGGCCATGCTTCACGTAGAACGGATGAGACTCCACAGAGACTGCTGTCTGGTCAGTGTTGATGTGCAGCTGCTGCTCTGGTTGTTGTTGTTGCACCTGCGGTGTCACACTTTTATGCCTCTCCTCTTCAGTGATGTCACAGCAGAAGCTCCCCCCATGCCTCGCCTGTCTTGGAGCAAAAGTGTAAGACCCCAGAGTACTCGAACCATGGCACATTCCAGAAATACCTGCAGCTCCGAAGCTTCCCTCTGATAAAGATAAATGTCATCTGCTGGATGACGTTCGCATTTGAATGAGAAAATGTCGGGCTATGCGGAAGGAATGACAACAAAGGCAGACTGTAGAAGCTGGAAAACCTTGGCAACTGTGTTAGCTCGGCTATAAACAATTGTATCGTCAGCATAGAGATGCAAGGATGCGTCAGGAATGATTTGATCTACATTATTTATGTAAATTGTAAAAAGAGTGGGTCCTAAAATTGAACTTTGTGGCACACCATTAGTAACCGTTAGGTAGGTAGATGAAGTACTATTGTGTTGAACACATTGCCTCCGATCTGAGAGATAGTTTGAGAACCAGCCAACAGTGTGATCTGAGAAGCCAATATCTGAGAGTTTATAGCATAAGATGCCATGATCTACAGAAGGGATACTCATTGTGCGGCTCATGAGCTACAAGCAGTTCGCCACGCTTTATTGGTGGCTCTTGTGACAGGTTACGACAATATGCCAGCACAGCCAGTACATTTTTAAAATGTGCTGGCGCATTGTGCAATAATTGCACATGTGGGCTCGGGCTTCTTTGATGCAGTTTTACAAATAATATTGTGTTAATCTACTTGTTGAGGAGGAGGCAGGTCTGACCGGCCTGTAGAGGTTAAAAAAAAGTCCTGTTAAGCTGATCATGACTGACCACGCGCGTCTGCTGACCCGCTGGTCAAAAGACGTAAAAAATGTCCTGTTAATCTTAGATAGATCAGCTACCGGCCGCACGTGTCTCCACACCTGCTGTCATCTGCGATGAAGGAAGTAGGAGCATCGCAGGACCGGTTCTAGCCATGGTTACATGAGGGGGCAGGCAGAAATGTGAAGGTGGGATCTTCATCTGTACAGCATATTCATTGTTGAGCATGGATTTTGGTATTCGTTATTTTTGACTTGTGCTTTCTTCATGGGATTGGGGTAATAAAAGCTGAATTTTTTACACCTGTGAGTCAACATTTTCAACCATGAACACTATCAAACAAAAACAGAGAAACCCACTGAACCATGCCCATCTTGAATGTCTCACTGTGGTTGCAACAACCAATTACAAATACAACATGAAGAAAGTAAAGGACATGTACCACAGCTTCCACTCATCTCAGTACTAATGTACATTTTGTTTAAACAGACAATGTGCTGGCTGTGTTTCTTTTTTGTTCATAGGTGTGTTGTTTAACTTTTATCTTTTATTTGAGTGACTTGGGGTGATATTGCGGCTCTCCCCTTGACTTTGATCTGTCAATATGGCTCTTTTGAAAAAATAGTGAGGATCACTGATCTACAGTATCGAGGGCTTTGGACAGGTCTAAGTAAAGTGCAGCATAGTAATCCTTAGCATCCAAAGCTTCAACAACATCATTAAAAAATTTTAGCGAAGGAGTCATTGTGCTGCGTTGTTTCCTGAAGCCAGATTGGAGAGAAGATAAAATGTCAAAATAGTCCAAATACTTCTTGACTTGAGTATTTATCAGTTTTTCTAAAACCTTGGCTAAAATACTAAGTTTGGAAATCGGTCGGTAGTTGTAGATGTAGATGAGGTCAGGCAGGAATCTCATGGACTATAATTTTGCAGATGACGTGATCTGTGGTGAGAACAGGAAACAGGTGGAAGAGAACCTGGAGAGATGGAGGTATGCACTTGAAAGAAAAGGAATGAAAGACAGTCATAGTAAGACAGAGTACGTGTGTGAATAAGAGGGAGGCCGGTGGAACAGTGAGGCTACAAGGAGCAGAGGTCACAAAGGTGCAGGACTTCATGTAACTGGGGGAAATGTCCAGGAAAATGGGGAGTGTGGTAAAGAGGTGAAGAAGAGAGTCCAGGCAGGATGGAGTGGATGGAAAAAAGTTTCAAGTGTGATTTGCAGCAAAAGGGCATCAGAGTCAGAGTCAGAATTTCTTTATTGTCATTCCACCACATGTGGTACAAGTGGTGGAATGAAATTGTGTACACAAGGTCACAGTTACATCCAACAAAAGAGTAAAATGTAAAATAAAAACAGTAATAAGATCTAAGATATGAACTAAAAAAAAGGTTAATTAAAAATACACTAAGCACTAGTAGTATACTTTGTAAAAACAATAAACACAATACGCTGAGCAGCACGGACATGAGTCTGTGTGAACAGATGAGCATGCATGAACACAGCAACATGAAACAGATCAGCAGCAACATGAAACAGAACAGCAGCAACATGAAACAGATCAGCAGCAACATGAAACAGATCAGCAGCAACATGATGTGATTTTTTTTCACAGTGATTATTCTGGTTAGAGATTCATGAGTCTAACAGCTTCAGGGTAGAAGCTGTTACTCAGTCTAGTGGTTCTACACTTAATGCTCCTCAACCTCCTTCCTGAGGGGAGCTGGGCAAAAAATGTGTGTGCTGGGTGAGTGGGGTCCTTCATGATGTCACCCACCACACGAAAGCAAAAACTGTGTGAATATGTTTTGGCCCATATGGGTTTATTTGTCAATAGTCAGTTAGTGTTAATTGTTAACATTAGTGTTAACAAAATATCTCATGAACTACTAGTTGTAATTTAATGAAACTTACAGAAAGTAATCATAGTAGAAATGTCTAAAATTCATTAATTTTTGGGATCAAAATGGTAAGAGAAGCAGAGTGCAATGTTTGTAGCTACTTAGCTAGAATGCCTGTATTGCGCGCCGCTAGCTTAGTTCTACATCAATGCCAGCAATTTGGGGGCGGAGGGAGGGGGGGGGGGTGCAGTGGATGACATGCATTCCGTAAAGTGAAGTTGGGTCTTAAATTACTGGATTTTTTTGTGAAAATATCTCTTTGAGAGTCTCTGCGGTAAAAAACTTGCACACCTCTTGTGATCCTTGGTTCAGACTTGTGCATAACTTCAATGTCAGTAATACAGAACTGAAATCCATCCCCACCCCCCACCCCAACTGTCGGCTGCAGGTCCCTGCACCCAGCAGAGGCAGACGAGTTAGTCTCAGAGTGGCCCAGTCCAGTATAAGCTGCTGCTGTATGAGACTGGTGAAACACTACAGCAACGCGAGCCGGCCACCCCTACTGCCTCAGTCCATGAAGGACATCTACATGACCATAACTGACCTGCTGGGTATGAGTACAGAACTGTCTGTGGTTCTAACAGGGCTGTGGTCCTCTCTGTACTTTGCTCTGTTTTTGTTTTCCAGTGGATAAGCTGGACAAGGCTCTGGAGGCTATGCAGCTGTATCTGAAGCTGCTTCCTCAAAGCAGCAGAGAAGAGCTGCTCAGGTTGCTCACCTTCATGTCTCTGGCAGCTGATCCACAAGGACTAAAAGTGGACAAGGAGGTGGGAGCTGATGCAAAGTTTAATTTGATCCAGAGATCTGTTGCATGCTCTCAGTAATATGTGGTGTTTGAAGGTGGACAACCGACTGGCAGTGAAGAAGCCGTTTTCCAGGGCGCTGCTGTCCAGATGCTCTCAAAGGAAAAAGAGGATCTTCTGTTGTTTTTTATGCTGAGCAACATTAAGGAAATCTTTAAGGTTACCTCTGTAGCGGGAAGGGTTAATAATGATTAAAAATTCATTATGAATTTTAGTTTGAAGGGGCCCCACTCTTAGCCTTGAGAGAAAAGAAAAGGTCTGAACGTCAGTTCAGACAAATATTATTTAATTACCTCGAATTACTCTTTTTCACCGTGAGTTCTTTTATATGAAAGATTCACATGTCATAAATAAAACACACACACTTTAGTATACAATTTTGTGACGTTTATTTGGCTATTTATGGACAGAAAACTGTTGGAAATTATTGCTTACATTTAACGATGGCTTTGTCTAACAACTGGAGTTTATGGAAATTAACGTGACCTTTAAAAATGCTTGTTTAGGAGGAATTAACAGATAAAATGATTTTATTCTATGTGATTACCCAAACCAAAACAAGATGAAATGTAATTCTGGAACTTTCAGCAGAGATAATTAATTATGCAAATTTAACTAAGAGGGAGACAGTTTATTTACTCCTTCAAGGGTTAAATTCTGGTCTTAAATTTAAAGGAAAATAATTACTGAACTGAGTTAATATACTAATTTGGTTAAAATCTAAATTCTTGGACACCAGAGTCAACCTTCCAGAGTAATAGATCAGCTTTCCTACCAGGAGTCGTCTTGGAACGACCGCCCCAGATACCAGACGGTGGACCTTCTGCTGAGATGATTTGAGCGACGTCAAAGGTTGAGAACCCTTTCACATCTCTGGGCATCAAGGCGAGGAGTCTGGTCACTGGCTCTAATGGTCAACCGACGGTCTCCATGGAGTTCTGGACAGCTGTTAGTTCTGGTGATGAAAACTGCAGGTGTTTGGAACGCTGAAGACAGTGCTATCAAAACTTTGCTAAAGTTGAAACTTATATTTTCTTTCTTGAAGTTTTGTATTACTTCTAAAAGCTTACTCCTCCTTCTTCCTCTGTCGTCGACTTCCTTCTGCTCTTCTGGGACTCTATCTCAGACCTCAACTTTCAATCACCACCCACAACTTGAGAGGGGTGGTCGATTTGGACCAATCAGAATAGAAAGGCCTGGATTTTATACCTTTCAGTAATGCTTTAATTTACTCTGCTGAAAAGTCCTCAAATAAAGGAAACATAATACTTCTGTCTTTAAGTGAGATTAAATCAATAAAAACACTTTTGTTAACCTTATAAACAGAAAATAACTTTGCCATCTTTTGGACTACAGGCTCTTGTCAACTGTAAGAGAAAACCACAAGGCAAGTTATTAGTTATTCCCAGTAAACAATTATTTCATTACAGGAAAACATTATTACTTCTCCAGAATATTGGAAAAGTCTGTCAGTACTTCTGAATGGAACAGAAGAAGTGTGGGTTACAGAGAGGAATTAATTTGAACACTATATTGCCTTATCACCCTGAGATTTATGACAAGAGAGACATGGCTAAGTAAGATCTTGGCACCGGTGTCACCAGAACTTTCTTGGGGTTTCTGTTTAGACTTAAAACATCCATTTTGGGTTCACAGAGAGGGCTTCTCAGATATTATCAGATTTATCGAACATTTTATGGTTTGCAAACAAGAAAAGTCTCTTTTGGACTTTTTCGATAATTAGGAGTTGCTGAGAAAATGTTAAACTGTCACAGATCTGAAACTGGAGAGAATGTCTCAGTTGTTTTTCTTTAAGGGAGAGGGGCAGTGGTTAATTTGAGCCGGATCCTGCCGGTACAAGATCCGGGAACTCTCTCATTTTGACACGTTCTGTTCCGGCAACTCTTTGTTCGGATCTGGCAGTTCTGTCCCTAAAAGTCCAAAGTCATCGCACATTTTTATTTTGATTATTTATTAAAAAAATACAACAAGAGGAGCTGTTGCCTTTAGCCCGGCGGACCCAGTCTGTGGATGTTTCAGCCACAGCACGCGCAGCGAACCAGCTACACGCTCCTTCGAGGAGCAGGAGAGGGGATGAGGACGGAGGGACAGATGGTGTTACATACAGAGGTTCTGCACAAAGTCCTTCTCTTCTCCTCCTCTCCAAGTATTGTCCCATAGTCAGTGGGGCTGTGCACTGAAAAACACCCCCTCTCTCCTCCTCTCAGAACCCGAAACAGAAACGATCATTTATTCAACAGAATAAATAAACGCCCTGTAGACAGTGCACGTTACGCACAGAAACGTCTCCAAACAGCGCTAGCGCGCGCACACATCAGCAGGTGTCTGAACTCATGCTACATTTCAGACATAATAAATAAAAAAAAAAGCTTACTGTAAACAATAAATTAAAAATACAAAGAGAGAAATGTTTGATGTGTTATTCACATT